AAAGAAATAAGTTATAAATAATTTGGGTTCCTTTCTAGCGAGACTAACATAGAATTTTATCGGATAATAAAAAAAATGTTAAAAAGAAAATGTTGTTGGAATTTCTCAAATGGAAAACATTTTTGGCTTTAATTTACGCGTCTATCATGTACTCTAATTAAAGGTTTGATTGTTAATATTCCATTATAATTAGCTAATCCATGTAAGCTCTAGTACATATTTTAGTTATTATTTAAAATGCATTAGTTTTCATAGAGTGTATTATTTATCGACCAATAAAAAATATTATTATTAATATAAATTTTAAGACAAATTTGTAAAAATTAATAAATTTGACATAAATGATAATTTGTGATGATTAATGATTGTTGATCCAATTAATACTATAATTGATCCTCAAGTCTCAAAGTTTGTATAAAATTATTTTATATTATAGTATTTTTTCTTTTTTAATATTGTTTTAAATATTTTTTTAGTCTTTGAATAATACATTTCTTTTTGTTTTTGGTCTCTAAAATTCTTTTTCTTAACTTTTAGTTCTTATAAATATTTGTTTTTTGTTTTTAATCACTGTGATAACTTTTTTCATTGTTTTGGATGATGTGTCAAATAGTGATGGACCTACCCACATTTGACAATGTACAAATAGATCCACTTACTTTAATTAAATTAATAATAGGTTAAATTTTTACATTTTTCACCCATATTTTTATATTAAACTCATTGATAATTATTTTTTATATTTATATTTTGCTTTTCTTTGTATATGATAATTATTATCATTAATTTTTATTTCTACTAAAAAGTTATCTTCACTAACTCTGAATATTAGATCTATCATAGATGTCAAACATTAAGTGCTGTATTAAATTAATTTAATTTCATATATATTTTTCAAAAATAACCTCATCTCTCTTTTAGCCAAAACCATCCTCCAAAATTTCCCTCACCGGGTAAGTAAAATGAAGAAGAAAAAAAAAAGAAGAAACATTTAATTTATTATGATTCAAGGATTTATTTTAAATAATAACAATTAATCACCAATGTATTAACATTTTTTTTTTATTTCATTGTTCTACACAGGCGGCGAACTTGCAAGCAGAACTCTCTTACTTGCATGGCCACCTTGCTCAAATGGAGGTATCCCACCCACCACCCACTCCTCCGCCGCAGCAGGCGGCGGCACCACCGGTTTTCTCAATGGCTGACCTACCGGCCACCACCATGGCGGCTGCAATACCGGTGACCTATGACTTGTCATCACTTTTTGAGCCAATGGGCCAATCTTCATGGGCCATGCAACAGAGGGGCATGGACCCACGTCACTTCATGGGTGGTGGTGCTCCATCAACCACAACCACTCAGTCTCCTCCAACAGCTCCTTCAAGCTCCAATGCATCACCATCTCTATCACTTTCTAAGTGATCAAACCTCAAACATCTTTTTTTCTTGCTTTATAAACTATCATCTGATATTTCTCATCCTTATTCGGTTAAACTAGCTAGACTAGCAATTATTATGATGGGATCTTAAATTTTCAAACATGTTTCAATATATTAGCAACTGTTTATTTTAATAATTGTGATTATGTATGTCGTTGCTCTTTCCTTGGTGATTTCTTTAAGCATTGTTTTTTGGGAAGAAGAAAAAACATGGTAGATTTAATATAGAGTCTTACGGATACAAATTAATAATGTTTTTGCGAACTTCTAAATTTGTATTTAAAGAGACTTATATATGTATTACTTGCTATATATATTTCGAATATCTTATGTGAGTGTGTGTTGATGGTGTAATATGTAACTCAATAATAAGTCATGAATCGTGGAAAGAGGAGGATATATATATGAATATATATGAGATCACATCATGGTTATTCATCGTCACGGTTGAGGGTTTTTTGATGTTTACATCCCATTTTTAAAAACTCTTTGTATAGTTTTGGAAAACCTTTGAAAACAAATTAAAGTGTTTGATCACTACTAGAATTTCTCTTACTACATGCGATTTTTCTTGCGAATTTTTATAAAAAATTCGCAAGAAACGTTTTTCCTACAAATTTTTCTGCAAAATTTTATCTGCAGATAATACCTTCGTCGATAATATATTTTTGCGAATTTTAAAATTCGCAAGAAATTTTCCTACAAAATTTCTTGCGAAAAACAAATTTTTCTTTGCAGGAAACTAAATTTTCCTACGAAATTTCTTGCAAAAATTTTTTGTAGGAAAGTTACCTTCGTCGATAATATATTTTTGCGAATTTTAAAATTCGCAAGAAATTTTCCTACAAAATTTCTTGCGAAAAACAAATTTTTCTTTGCAGGAAACTAAATTTTCCTACGAAATTTCTTGCAAAAATTTTTTGTAGGAAAGTTACCTTCGTCGATAATATATTTTTGCGAATTTTAAAATTCGCAAGAAATTTTTCTACAAAATTTCTTGCGAAAAACAAATTTTTCTTTGCAGGAAACTAAATTTTCCTACGAAATTTCTTGCAAAAAAATTTTGCAGGAAAGTTTCCTGCAAAAAAACATTTGCAGGAAAGTTTCTTGCGAATTTTTCACAAGAAATTCTGCAAGAATATTTTTTACAAAAAAAATTACTATAAATTCTATCAATAATTCTTTAACTTTTAAATGCTCACAATGAATTCATCTGAAGCATTTGTTTCCACGCCTCCAACATGTGATACATAATCTTTTAAATTTTAAGATTGTTGTAGATTATAAACCTAACACTCAACCATACAAATCAACTTGTAAGGTAAGTGTTGTCTCAAACTTATATACTCTTTAATTATTTTATTTTCAATCGATGTGGGACTTGAAGTTTTTTTAAAATATTAAACTTATAAATTTAAATATTTTTTTTAGTTTTCCTGCAGATTAAAATTTGTAGGAAAATCCGCAGGAAAAGTTACCTGTAAATTTTTTCTACCATTCAGTAAACATTACTTGCGAATTTATTTTTGCAAGAAAATCTGCAAGAAACAAAATAAAATTCTTACAATATGTTCTGCAAATTTTTACCATGGAAATTCTTTTTTATGATTATTAAAATTGTAGCAAAATTTGTAAGAAATATCTGTAAATTATTTTTCGCAAATAAATTTGTAAAAAATTTCTGCGAATATTTTTTTCAGGAAAACTCGCAAAAAAATTTTGCGAATATTTTTTTGCAGAAAAATTCGCAAGAAAATGATACTTTTCTAGTAGTGGATTCATGGATTGAAAATTTATTTATGAAAATATGAATTTGGAAATGTGGTATTTTTATGTTTGCTTGGAATTTTTTCAAAAAATATTTATAGGTATTGTTTATTTTAGGCTTTTTGACCGGTTTAAATTAAAAAAAGAATTAGAAAAGAAAGTATTTAAATAATAATTAATTTATCAGAATGAATAATTTCTTTTTAACATTATACAAATAAAATGTCTGGTCCTAGACGTTTTTGCTGCAAACGAAAAAAATAAAGAGAATGTTGAAATTAAGCCCCAAACGTTTTGTATTGTTTATATAAAAATCACTTAGGCCCTCAGGCTTTTTGTGTTGGAAAGCTTTACAGCAAAAAATGCGCGAGTCTTCAAGCGTTTTTTATTTATTAATATTTTAAAAAATTACAAAACGCTTAGAGGAATAAACGTTTTGTGTTTAATGAAAAAAACAAAAAAAAATAGTATCTTTCCAAATGCATATTTAAGCGAGGACAGGAGTTCGAATCCTGCCTTGTGTATGTAGTCGTGTTAAATCTTGGAGCTAGTTACAAGAAGATTAGTTACCGTTATTAGTGGTGGATACTCCAGGGACGAAAAAAAAATATGCATGTTTGGGAGCGAAATTCATTCGCGGAAGAAATCCACCAACCATTTAGTCAAGCAACAAACGTACTCCATGATATCCAATGCATGAGTATAGATGAAAATGAACATTATTGAATTAGCTTATGTAAACCCTTATAAATCATGGTCTTAAGGTTTTATAAAGATAAATAAAGCACATTATGTAATTTTACTTACTATGTCCAGTGATGATATTGTTCTTAAATACAAAATTATTACTAGGATTAGTAGGATGAAAATAAGTTAGAACAAATAAGATTTTGAATATACATATCAAATTAACTTTATAAAATAAAAGTTTAAGTTTAATCTATTATTTATAATAAGTTTTTTTTTATAAATTTGGTCTAACATTTTTAAAAGTCTATTTTGCATTAACAATGTTGAGTAAAACAATAAATTTAATTTTAAATAAATCAACAATTTGTATGATAAAAAAGTTTACTCTATTATTATTAAAATTTAGAGTTTAAAATAAAAATAAAAAACTAATTATTAGAATTTTTAAATATTTTCAGTATTCCACTTGAAGTATTTTAAATAACTAATTATGAAAATAAAAAGAAAAAAACATGATAAGTGAGGATAAAAAAAAGACACAAAATGTTAAGTGATCTAATTTAAATTTTTTAAACAAAATAAATTTAATATTAAATACAAAAAATTAAATTAATATTTTTGTCATATCAATATAAAAGACTAACATAATTAAAAAAAAAATTGTAAATATAAGAACTAGAAAGACCCCTTTTAAAATATAAAAACTACATAAAAGCATAAAAACTAAAAATTAAAAACTTCTACTTTAAATTATAAAAATTAAAAAATAAAATAAGTGAAACTATTAAAACTAAAATATATTTTAACCTTTAAAGAAGTACTCAATGATAAGAAGCACCGCACCTTAGCATTGCTTTGAAAGTAAAAAATATTATTTGATAACACACCCAAATCCCACATACTTCATTTCATTGGCATCCTACATTGCAAGATAGTTTAAGTAAGATGAAAGGATGTAAATAGTCCATGACTTTTAAGGAGAAAACTTACCTAGAGTTTTTGGTTAGTATTGTTCTCTAATCAAGATTAAAATTTTGCTTCAATAATATACATAAAAATATATTAATAAAACTTATATTAAATATAAATTCATAATATCGTGTTATAATCTCGATTCTAATAAAAAATAGTATGAATTTCATGTAAGAAACTCTTCATAAGTTTTATCCTAAAAGACAAACGCACTTACATTGTCAATATTCCAAGGGTTCATGAATTATGAGCTTACAACCATTCTTCAACTCCACATAAGGTAGTCAATGACCTTAGATGTTGAGGAAGCTCAGATAAATTACTACATCTTTCGATGACCAGATGTTGAAGACAAGGCATTGCACCTTCCTCTATTATCCACTCATCCATGTATATTCCCCTCACATCAAACACTTGGACCTGCAGGAATTTTCCAGCGTCCATCTCAAGGTCACATTCTGGAGAGTCAAATTTGTTTCCCGAAATTAGTTTCAAATAGCGTGTTCATGAAAAAGTGTTTTCCCACGTTGAATGATAGTTTCAATATTATCTTGGTAAGATTTGATGGAAATGCGTTGGAGTGTGAAAGTTGTGCCATGTCAAACTGTATGTTTAGGCTCTGAAGATTGCTTCAAGGGCGTAGACTAGGCAATTCTTCCAAAAAATGAGATCGAGAATGATGTCGATACAAGTGACTAGAGTTAATTTTCTCAACCTATTGGAAACGTTACTTTTTTCAGCAAAGGGTTGGAGATTTTCCATTCTCTCTCTACTTGCTTTTGGTAACTCATACGCAACTAAACAATGATGTTTCAGTCGCTTCAGCTTCCAAATTCCACTAGATATTTTTCGTGTCCAATTTACACACAGAGTTTCTAGATTCCAAAGGTAGCTTATAAAGAATCTGGAAGGTCCCCAGAGCTTATTTTCAAGTATCTTAGATGGATCAGTCTTCAAATTTCTAGGTAGTGAAAAAAAACTTAAATCTTTAGAGTGTAGCACACGAGCCAACTTGAAGCTTTCCATAGTGTAATCTATGCTCGTTTTAGGAAAGATGAACACAGAACGAATGAACCACTTGTTAAATATGTTTGCAGAAATAGGAGAGGGTGGTTGACAGTGAAAGTGTAGAAACCGAGACGGCGGACGCAAGTTGAATGAACCTGAAACCTGAAACACTGAACAACTACGTTAGTAAAATTCTCCCGAGACGTGTGATGGCACTGACCAGGATACAACAGGGTCGTCTCAGTAATGAGGAGCAGAACTGGCAGGTTAAGTTTTTGAGAACTCAGAGAGAGAGAGTGAGGGAAAAGCATTCGGGGCTGATAATTAAAATGACGTGCCCGTATGTATAGAGCCTCAGAAACCCTAATAGGATCTGACTGTTAAGGAAATTAACCCGAATAAATTAAGAGAATAAATCTGTATAATTAAAAAAAACTAATCCGATTTTTTAGTGATAAGATTTGATCGGTTTTCAAAACAGAATCAAGTTTGAATTTTGAAATGGAAAAACGGTCATATTCGGATAAGGTTTCTTTAATTAATTTTAAGAAAAATTTAATGTAATAAAAAATAAAAATATTTCCGGATTTGATTATCGCAAGCGCAGGGAGGGGCAAATCGAGAGATTTGAACTACAATGGACTCACAAGGCCCATTCTCACGTGTGCGAGCCCA